TTCGAAAAAGTCAGAAAAGTGGGCGTCTCCAGCTCTGTTTAGGGGGGAGTGTCGGAGGAACTAAAGTGGGATGGTGTGGGAGTGTCTATTTGTGCACGCGCGAGTTTCAGAGTCAAAATACACACCCACACAGACAGGAGAAGTGTTTAACCTACATGGACATCTGTAGTCGAATTATTTGCTGAATTAATAAATGTTGGACTTTAACTGCAGTTTGGCTCTTTCATTCAGGGAATTCATTCATGCCCCTCGCGACAAACGAGGTATTTGATTCGAGGATCTGCTCTAAGCGTGTATTTTTCATGCAGTGTTTGATACCGCACGGCGAATGAGAGAAAAAAAAAACTCTGCATTTCCCGGAAACTTAGATGCACACAGCAGGTAGCGTCAGAAAGCCGCGTGTGTTATTCCGGTCACTAAATGCGGTGCTAACATTTCTGCACTCAGTGCAATAGTTAACTTAATTCGATACGAGCAAACTGATTAAACAAAGAGCACTGGTCGCTCACTTACCAAATCTGTAGAGACAGGACAATCACCAGCAACTAGAGCCGCGTCTTTATGGAGAGAATACTACAAGCAAATCCAGATTTCAGCGTTTGCAGATGAGAACAGCTCTCAGGTAAACAATAATCCTCCTTAGACACGTAAGTTATTGTTGTCGAGCGTCGCGTACACTGTTAATCCACACGTGATCCAGATAAGCTCTCACAGAGAGAAAATGAAAACGAAACTTAACGGCAGCAAACTATAAAAGCAACACTTCACGCTTGTTTTGCCAACACAACGTGGCGTCTTTGTGGTGTAAACACGGTGACACAAATGAATATTAATGAAGTTGCACAATAGAGCGCGCTGATTGGTTTGAACCAAGCCTTACTCATGCATTAATGTATCACACTGTAAGACGTAATAAGGCACACTCTGGTACAGACGTCCAGTCTACAAGCTGGAACACACGCTATTATGTCATGACCGTGACGCAGCTTCAAAAATTAGTTTCAAACAGGAAGTACGAATTTGCTTGAAATAATGCAAAAACAACCAATTTACACTTTTTAGTGAAATATAAGTGTCCTAATAGTGTTTTTAGCAGTGTGGGACACATATACGACTGTCAAAAGCTCAAAAAATGTGTTTTGGTGTTTCGTGACCCTTTAACACATGAGAGAGCGTTCTTTTGCTGTTCTAGGAGGCGTGGCTCTAGACGGCAGGGGAGGGAATGTGATTCAGAGATGTACGCTAAGCTGTTAGCATTGTGAAAGATCACCTACTGCACCTTTAACTCCTTTATTGGAATTAATAAACAGCAGCTTGTCTATTTCCTTATTTTGGTTTTTAAGGTTATTTACACTAGACTGGTTGTGTTGTAATATACTTATGAATTGGGCTTTTTTTAGAACCCAACAATGATAGTCCAATGAACTCTACAGCTGCTGAAATGTGGGATGACCAGGAAGGTAAGCGATCGGGTCAAAGTGCGCCATTTGTTTGATTCTGCAGTATGTTTAGAGTCTTATTTCTAGTTGAAGGTGTATGAGTTGTGTATAATAAACTAACATGTTGCAAATACATTTTGTTGCAGCCTTCAAAGCTCATTTGCACGCAACCTACAAGAACTGACTATCAGCATAAACGTCTGCCTCCCTGTTTTATTGGCGTCTCTGTTTTCTTGTTTATAATAATGTAAATTTTCTCTAAGGGTTTTGTTTGTATATTATTTCTGTGTTGTATTAAACTGGCTTGAAGAAAACAATTCTGATTGAAATGTGCCTTTTTATGTGAATAAAGAAGGGGAAACATAATGTTAATGCTTGCTGCTTTGATTTATGATATTTACAATATAAAGGTAGTGCACAGCTGATTGGTAACCACCAGTTGCAGAAACAGCCAGTATGTTCTGTACATTTTAAAGGCATTGATCACCCAGAAATTAAAATTTACTCTTAATTTACTCTGCCTCAAGTCATATATATATTTTTTTCTTTCTCCCCCCTATTTAAAAATTAATCTTTATTTTTATTGCACTTTTACAATAGCCCCTTTCACCTTTCCGGAAAGGTGTGTGTGTGTGAACAGGCCCTTTTTGAAAATACCGGTAAATTCGTTCTGGCTATTTTCCGGAAAGAGAAGTTGTAACATTACCGGTAATTTCCCGGAATGCTGCTTTGTGTGAACGCAAAAGGAAGATTGCCGGAAAGAGCGCGTGCACGTCTAGAACGTGCTGACGTGAGACGTCCGCTTTAGCCAGTCAGAACAGTCAGACGTGGTTTATGAGAAAAAAAGCCTTTGAATATTTTTCCAGACACATTTAGCGGCTAGAAAATAGTCAGATAACGTTTATATGTTCATCTTAATGCCAACCGCGTAATTAATTATCGATAAGATGCTTATGATAAGCCGTTGTTTGTTTACCTTCAAGCTTTGCGTGTGCCCATGGAACAGCCCATGGGCACACACACACACACGCGCACACACACACACACACACACACACACACATCATGTACATCTTGACATGCGAAAGTGTTCCTCTATAGTATGCTAGGCTGTGTGTGGCAGCATTGCGTCACTTTGAATGAGTCAGCCTATCTGGTATCAGAATATAAAAAACAAGCCTTTATTTGTTTTCTGGTGATTTTTATTTTTGGTTATTCAAAATAAAAAATGAAAATCAAGTCATTTATGAATTTTGGTTTTCTGTTTTTAACCATGAACAAGAAAAATGAGCCGCTTTTTGAATTTCGTTTACAAAATCAAAAAACGAATTGAATTTAAAAAATTTTTTTATTCTAAAACAAAAATCCAAAAAAACGGCTCGTTTTTTGTTTTTCAATATCAATTTCTAAAATGAAAATCCAATGACCAAAATATACACTGACCTTTTTCGTTTTTCTAATATGTTATTAAAATGAAAATCCAGTGACCCAAAGATACACTGACCATTGACTTTTAATCTGCAATGCGGAAGTGTGCACGTTTTTTTCAATCGTTTTAGAACTTCCGATTCAGTCCCCTATGAGAGAAATGACTAGACATAATAAATGGCAGAAAACAATGAAATGCTCTACAATCAAGTGTGTTCATGACTAATACTAAAAAGTAGAATAATATAATACGAAAACATTAGTTTGCACCATCAAGCAGCATAACAAGCTGTTTTAAACATCAAAATATCAATGCAAGCGAATGAGACTGGAAGTCTTAAGCCAAAAAGATTCCAATGCCTGCTCGTATGTCAAAAATAATAAGTTGACGCTAGCTGAGCAGACACAGCAGACAGCCTATTTTGCAGTTGTGATGATGGCAACAGCCTGATGTTTTATTTTGAGACACCACCTCCACTTCCATCATCTCCTCTAAGCTTTCATCCTCTTCTTGCCCAACACCTGGAGTAGAGCTGCCTTCAACCCAAGCTTCTTGAGTGGGTTCAACTGACCACAGTGGCACGTTTACTCTCTGGAGCATTTCTTCAAGCAGGACATCAATCTCCTCTATGTGAGTTTTCAGGTCAGGGCTTACGGTCACCTCTACCGAGAGCCAGGGTGTTTGTACCATGGCTGCCCGAGCTGCTACTTCTGAAGTTCCACCTGCTAAACCTGTGTTGACCAGGGCCTGTCGATCCTTGCGCTGGGTAAGCGGGAATATCTCTTGCAAGACTTTGACCTTCTTTAGGTCTTGTTGGAAGTTTTCCAAGCTGGACAAGAAGATGACCCAGAGTCGCTCGACCTGTTCTTTGTCCTCTTGTCCTTGGTCTATTTCCATCAGCAGTGATAGCAGCCTCCGGTGAAGCCCTGCATTGAGATTCATGCAGATTATATGTAGTATTGCATAAAGTAATTAAATTATTTATTAAGAAATTAAATTACTTGTCAGGCAAAGTCATTACGGAAACAATTTAATCACGAATTTCACGATGTGGTTAGTAGTTTATATCTATTTTGATCTTACCCAACACTGCACCAGAAATGTTTCCTTTTCAAGTACTGTCTCACCTGAGCATATTTTATGAGCTACTGTCCTGGTTTCCTCCATCTCCTCTCTAAGGAAGCTCCCGTCCACGTTGCTCCCCAAGGAGGTGGACATTTGCTGGAAACAGGCTGTGACTTTGCTCAGGGCGACCTGTGCCCGCTCGCATTCATTCACATGCCGCTTTCTGGTTTGGATTTCCACCACCGACCTCTGCCAGCGATTCATTCCCACTTGAGTGGTGACGACCTAAACTTTGCAGAACATTTAAGTTATAGCAAAGACTATAGAATACTCAAGACATGTCACTCGTATAGTTTTGAATGGGGATAAGCCTAATGGTCAATATGGTGAATAAGCCCGTCTTCAAGTACAGGAACCATGCAGTGATCGCCAAAGACTCGGGGTGCACTCGCACTATGCTATACGAATTGTTCCCAGGTGCGTTTCCCGGTTTATTTGACAAGTGTGAGTGCTCCGAAATGGGCCCAGGCGTGGTTTAGTTAACCAGGTGCGCTTCTCTTTCTGTTAAACCGAACAGTCGCATCATCGAAGATGTAAGTGTGCTTCGATTCGGAAGGCAAAATGCTGTGCGAGTGCAGGTTGTCAGTGGGACAATCGCTCTTCAGCACTATTCAAGACAACTGTACCTAGTGTGAGCACGCCCTTAGGATTCTCCTGTGGAGGTGCTCGGACCAGACATGAGTTTCTGCAGATTTTGTGTGATTTGAACATTTTGAAATTAAACTAAAGAGAGAGTCGTTGTTTATTTTCATTGGTGATTCCTAATATGAAATTGACTTGGCAAGCAATTTTGGAGAATTTGATGTTTCCCCATTCAAACAGAATGCCCGAGCATACTGACCAAGAGGTGTTTCAAAGATGGCCTGCGATGGAAATGACTTGCCTTAAATGGACTTTGTTTATATTTAGTCTTCCACTCTCGGAATGGCAGTGCATTCCAAATGAGATATGTAACGCTCCAAAGTGAAAGCAATCATGGCTGCCATTTTTAAGTATCGTTCTCAACAGAAGTGCTTAAAAAATGGACACTTCAAGGGTACGGCTGATGTACACTTCGGGACCCCATGATCCTTGGATCCATGATCCCCATGAGCGCTGGGAAGTTGATTGGTGTTGCACATTGGTAATCCATTTGGAAGGGCTACTCCCTATCACCTAATCAATAGGTCTCAAACTCAGTTCCTGGAGGGCCGCAGCTCTGCACAGTTTTGCTCCAACCCTAAACCCCCAACCCTAACCACCTTGATCAGTTGGATCAAGTGTGTTTAAATGCAAAACTGTGTAGAGCTGCAGCCCTCCTGGGATTGAGTTTGAGACCTATGCCCTTATTCCTTTGAAGGTATCACTTTGGAGGGTAAACCCTTCAAAGAGATCATAGGGCATAGGGATGATCCCTTTAAAACGAAACGTGTTGTAAATCTCACCATTTAAAATACGATATAGTGTAGTTTTATTCTTAGATGGAAGATAATGGCCCAGTCCCAATTCTACCTCTTAACCCTTCCCATTCTCTCCATTTTGCACGTTCACGTGAAGGGGTAGGGGTGTTCCAATTCTCTTTAGCTTGAAGGCGTTATAGCTAAGAAGAAGGGCTAGATAGCCCTCGAAAGGGAGGTTTTGCAGGACCACACTCGAAACTAAGGAGTATGAAAATTTCCCAAAATACGTCACCATCTACAACGGCAGTATATCTGCACCTGGAAGTAAGGAGATGAGTTTTTTTTTTTTTTTTTGTCATTGTTACGAATTTTTATAACAAAAAAATTGTATTATTTTTAAAACATTTATAACGACATTCGTGTTTTACCATCATGCTTTAAAAAAAAAAAAAACTCTAAATTTCGCTATCCATTATCCATAATAATAACTCCTGTATAGCAGTCCCACAACATACTTTGACTCTATGACACTCGAATACCCTGTCAGAAAAGTCTAGTGGCTGGTAGTGGCAGTGTCTGGTAGACTGTTATTGTTGTTTTTGAGTGTTTTCATAGATGAATATGGCCACAATGTGAAAGCACAGTATAGTTACAATCTTATTCCCACATATCGTCATGATATCAGTGATTTCCTGAAAATAAATACCAAAAAAATAACATAACTGGAATAACTACAGCAGTCGCGATCGTCGATCTCATATGAAGTAAAATCTCATATGTTGTAGTGCTGTTTCTTAGGGCTACATTTTGTAGCCCTTCCCCTTCAAACTCTGTTTCAAAGGGGAAGGGGTACAAAAATAGAATTGGGATTGAGCCAAAGTGTTAAATTTAACGATTTGTAAATCCAACCTTTGCTAAATTCATAGAACATTTACATTTAGTCATTTAGCAGACGCTTTTTTCCAAATGAGTACAAAACCATTTCGTTCACTTGCTCAAAGTAATCACTTGCTGTTTTAAAGTTTAAGAACTTGCAAATATGTGCCTAACGATATAAATATTTAAAGACAGTAGTTCTCAAACTTTTTTCATCAAGTACCACCTCAGAAAAAAAACAATGTCTCTCCAAGTACCACCATAATGCGCAGTTTTGAAATACAGTAGCGTAGTAGGCCCAGTAAAGCAGCTACAGCTCTGTACAGTTAAAAAAACATGGCAGATTAATTTCTATTAATATGAATATTATCGTCAGCCACTTCAAACATTATAGTTTGAGCATAAAAAAACTAAAAACGTCAACATTTTAAATAAAAATTTTCTTTTAAAAGTTAAAAATAATAGGTTACTTTTCTTAAAAAGTAAAAAAAATAAAAAATAAACTCTTGTACTTAAAGTATTAAGATATAATAGTCTGTTTATCAACACCAGGATATATAGGCTTTATGTGATCATATTCATATATAAATCATTTTTGATACATTTTTAAAGATATGTAGCATGTACATATGACATTTGATTCCTCCACGTACCATTAGAAGGAAGCCTGCGTACCACTAGTGGTACACGTACCACAGCTTGAGAACCACTGGTTTAAGTTATGCTTAGCATAGTTCATTTATACACTGAAGTTTACATAAAAGACCAAAACAAATGACTGAAGAAAGAAGCCACTTACTGGTTATTGATGCTCAAGGATATCCGTGTGCTTTCATAGCCCTCGGAAACTTGCAATCTTCTTCAGCTGTTCGGTTTCTCAGAACAGTTGCATCTGCTTAAGACCTTTCTCCTAACCTCCTTGTATTTGTACTTTCACCGTTTTTTTTTTCCCCCCCAAAGCTTTTATAGAGGCCGGTCTTCAGGGACACTTGTTAAAATTAGGCCCAAACCTTGCAGTCCATCCTCTCAGAATACCTAGTGCTGTAGATCATTATGTCAGGAGTTTTTCCCTTTCTCAGAACAAACACAGGACAAGGTTTCAGATCTGGAGATTCATGAGTAATGGCTTTCTCTGTGTGTGTTTTCTGTGTAAATGTGGCTGTGCGTGTAATAATGGCTGTGCACAGTGGTTTATGTGAAGTTAATTGTCCTTGGGGAGAGTGGTATGGTATTGTGGAGGAACGGACGGGGATCCTTTATTGACTCTCTTGTGATTTCTTGGGCTTGTTTGAAAGCTGTGTGTCGCTTGATCCGGCACGTCTGCTCTCGTGGGTCAAGTCTCCTGAGCAACACCAGTAATATTAGCTCATTCAGTTAGCAAAACACCAAAGCTGTAATAGGCACTGGTATAATTCCTCAGTCATAATAATTGTAAGCTGCTTCACACTCAATTGTGATGTAGGGGATTTTCCCTGCACATTAATAAAATAAATGTACACAAATTAGTTTTAGGGCACCAGTTAAAATGTAAATTCGATACTCGTAATGTTATCCTGAACGTAACTCAGTCTTCAAGCATGGTACGTGTACTTCATTATTTAAAGGGCCATGAAACCCCCTCTTTTCAGCAGGGTGTTTTCACACCTCTACTTTGGAAAAAGTCAGAAAAGTGGGCGTGTCCAGCTCTGTTTAGGGGGGAGTGTCGAAGAAAGAAAAGGGGCATGGTGTGGGAGTGTCTATTTGGGCACGCGCTGACTTTCAGAGTCAAAACACATACACACACAGGGGATAAAAGGACTGTGTTTACATGGACATCTGTAGTCGAATTATTTGCCAAATTATTAAATGGTGGACTTTAACTGCAGTTTGGCTCTTTCATTCAGGGAATTCATTCATGCCCCTTGCGACAAACAAGATATTTGATTCAAGGAACTGCTCTAAGCATTTCTCATTTCATTTTCATTTCTCGAAAACTTAGATGCACATGGCAGGTAGCGTCAGAAAGCCGCGTGTCACAAAATGCGGTGAAAATCCTACACGAGGTTAAAGTTTGGTTGTGGTGCTAACATGTTTACACTCGGTGCAATAGTTAGTTCGATACGAACAAACTGAAAAAACAAAGAGCACTGGACGCTCACCAGCAGCTAGAGCTGCGTCTTTATTAAGAGGAGACTACAAGCGAATCTGGATCTCAGCGTTTGCAGATGAGAACAGCTCTCAGGTAAACAATGTTCCTCCTTAGACACGTAAGTTATTGTTGTCGAGCGTCGCTTAAACTGTTAATCCACACGTGACTCCAGCTGTGCTCTCACAGAGAGAAAATGAAAACAAAACTTAACTGCAGCAAACTATAAAAGCAACACTTCACGCTTGTTTTGCCAACACAACGTGGCGTCTCTGTCGTCTAAACACTGTGACAGTAATGAATATTAATGAAGTTTCACAATAGAGCGTGCTGATTGGTTAGAACCAAACCTTACTCATGCATTAATGCAGCACACTGTAAGCACACGTAATAAGACACACTCTGGCACAGACGTCCAGTCTGCACGCTGGAATACACGCTATTATCTCATAGCCGTGACGCAACTTCAAAAATTTGTTTTAAACCGGAAGTACGAATTTGCTTGAAATAACACAAAAACAACCAATTTACACTTTTTAGTGAAATATAGGTGTCCTAATAGTGTTTTTTGCAGTGTGGGACACATATACGACTGTCAACAGCTCAAAACATGTGTTTTGGTGTTTCGTGACCCTTTAACGCAGAGTTGTGTTAGATATGGAGAATCTTTATTGAATATCTAACAGGTGGCTTCAAAGTATTTGTCCATTCTCATAGCAATGACAAACACAAATTCACTTATTGTACATATACATTACAGCTTGGCCATTGACATGCCTTACAAAGGCAACTAGGAACTTCAACGAGAACATTGAGACAATGATTGAAATAATACCACAGATATCCAAAGATAACGGAAAATGAACAAATTCATCTAGTAATATCGAACACATCCTGTGGTTTCCATATTAAACCGTGGAAGGACTTCATTCTCCGTTGTGTGTTATTTATATCACAGTTGTTGAAGACCCATGGAGTGAGCTAGACGTGATACAAAACCACAGCGATCTGTTGCAGTCTGAGATCAATACCTCCAGCTTGCACTGGTAATCAAGCTAAAGTCGAGTAGAGTTGCCCCTGCATACAACGTGAGGTGATTTACAAGGACTTCACTGGTAGATGCTGGTATAATCAGGTGCAATGGGGAGTCTAGGAGGAGCAGATATGCGACAGTCATTTGGCTTTTGTTCTTTTACAGGTCTTGCTATTTCAGAGATTAGCACTATTAGCTATGTTTCCATCCACTGGTTTTTATATGCCTTTTGGAATATTGCTTAAAGTGGTTGATAGAAATGATTGTTGAAAATGGTGTTAAAAGTGTATGTGCTTAATCCCTTCTGAAAAAAACCAGCTTAAACCCAGCCTAGGCTGGTTTAAGCTGGATTTTTCTGCAGGGGTGGGATAAGATTATCAGATCAATAAATATATATACATATTAACTACAATGGAAACTCACTTACCGAATAAATTCCAGCATGTGCATATGCAAGTCATGTGATTTGGATTAAAATTAGTGTGATGGGATGGTATTAATGGACAAACCAGCAGGCTGACCACATTTCACAATATCTGATTCATTTTTGGTCATTCTAAAATGCCTCAGCCAAAGTCTGTCATCACAGTGGTTCAGTATTATTACTTCCAGTCTTGAGTGTCTGCACTCCCAAAGACTTGCGCCTCCATAAACCACCGCACGTTCCTTGCGTTTCATCCTTGTCTTCTGAGGCTCGAGTAAGTTATTATATAAGAAAAAAAGGCTGATTTATACTTCTACATCAAGCAAACACGTATGCTCCGGTGCAGTGTTCAAGTGGTCGCATAACCCTTGCCTGACAGTCTCCCACTCTCTGAATGGCAGTGCGTTCCAAATGAAATAAATAGCCCTCCAAAGTAAAAGCAATCATGGCTGCCATGTTGAAATGTTGTTCCCAAAAGAAGTCGACACTTCAAGGGTATGACTGAAGTACACTTCGGGACTCCATGATCCTTTGTGCAGGGGTGTTGCACATTGGTGATCCATTTGGAAGGACTAATCCCTTCAAAGGTATCACTCTGGAGGGTAAACCCTTCAAAGAGATCATAGGGCAGGGATCACCAAACTTGTTCGTGGAGGGCCGGTGTCCTGCAGATTTTAGCTCCAACCCTAATCAAACACACCTGAACAAGCTAATCAAGGTCTTACTAGATATACTTGAAACACTTAGGCAGGTGTGTTGAGGCAAGTTGGAGCTAAACCCTGCAGGGCACCAGACCTCCAGGAACGAGATTGGTGACCCCTGTCCTAGGGCATAGGACTGATGCCGATGCAGACACGCACCTGTAATATTACATCGCAACCATGCATAGCGCAAGCACTGAGATTAGTCAGCTTGGTATCGGTGACGAGTGTGGGCAAGGATGAAGCAAGACTGCCATTCATATGCGCGCGAATGCGTCAGACCCGAAACGCAAGGTCCTGCGTCAAGTTTCGAAGTTCGCTGTGTTGCAAAGTTTAAGCTTGGTGAACTCTGACCCGTGAAATCGCATCACTTGAGTGTGCAAGATCAATCGAGGATCAAAGCATGACCTCTCTGGACAAAAATTTAAATATGGAGCAATCCCTCACTTTTTAAATGTCTAATTATCTTGTTTAATCCCGCCCCTTTTCGCAGCACCGCACCACAGTATTTTGCATGCTCAAACTCTAGAGTGACCGCAGTGCAATCCCATTAGAGCGAGTGTTTACATTTCTCAAGTCCTGTGAAGGAGCTCCAGATGGAAACTGTTGTTTTGTGTTTACCTTATGATTAAAGTCGTTGCGCATCCGCTGGTTCCCACCTCTAAATGAGCGAGTTTGAGCAACTTGTACATTTAAGGTAGCGATCAGAAAAAACAAAACACCAGCGAAGAAACTTGACACAGAGGTAACATAAAAGCCCACTGCCAGTTAACGTTTCGGAAGTGTTATTGCAGAGCAACACGCATGCCGTGCATTTATACTTCTGCATGCTAACGCGCAAGGCATGCGCCATTAGTCACTGCACTCGCTCGATGCAGAAATATAAACCAGCCATAACTCAACAAATTCTCTTTTTCTTTGTGATATTTGTTGCCAGTTTACCAAGAAATTACAATTTTGTTCTCTTTCTCTCATTGGATGGAGATGGTGCTTTTTTGTGGCAAACGTTTTATGCAATATTCCAGTTTTACGCATAAATCTGATTAGCATCTTTGAATGGAAACATAGTTACTGTGGTGTGCTATGTGGCGATGGCCTCCATGATCTCATGGCACAGACATTGGCAGAAGCCGTAGAATATGCAGAGGACCAGAGTGGAGGGCACCAGGCTGACAAGGATCACTCCCATGGTGAGCTGTTGGATCATCAGCAAGTAGATCCCCAGTGGCAGTGAGCTGAAGTACACCAGGCAGAGGACACCCATCAGGAAGCGGGGAACTGAACGGGACGTCCATGCTCGGCACTTCTGCACGGGTAGGTGGCAAGGTAAGGAGTCCAAGCTGGCCGGCCGGTACAAGCGCACCATATTCAGCATGCTCATTGAGTCTGAAGACTGCGACTCTCCAGGGACTTCCATGATTGTGATAACTAGGCAGTCGGAGGAGCTGTGAGCCTGCTCGCCTCCACTCAGGCTGTTGGGTGTCAAGAGGACCTCACCGCTGGGTGTAGTGCCGCTCTTACGTGCCCGGTCCTGGTAGGTCAGAATAGCCAGAATGTTGCTGTCGTCTTGAAGCAACCAGATCTCCTCGTCAGGGACGTGAGTCTCGTGGCGGCAGAAGGGGCAGCTGATGATGCTTGGGGATGAGTCCAGCTCTACCATTTTCTTGAGACATTTGGCACAGACACGGTGCAGGCAGCTCAACACTTTGGGCTTTCTGGCTCGAGTGTCAAAGCGATTGTAACAGATCTTGCACTCCAGCTCCTCCACAGTGTAAATCACTGGTGCCTGGGAGCCCTCTGTCTCCGAGTCCGACTTCTGGCTCATCCTGAGAGATGTACGACTGGAAGAGCCAGAAAGCAGGTGCGAATGTTCAAACTAAGCAGATTCTAGCCGCAGCACCTGAGCACCTACTTTGTCTTAGTTTTTTTTAAAAGCTTTGCCTTTGCTTTTCACCAAAAGCAATTGTTTAAACACATTTTTCAAAGAGCCTGCAGAACATACTGCTGATTAGAGGTATACAGAAGCAGAACTGAGATGTAATAGAAAGCTTAACATAATACTAATGTCCATGATATGACACCTTGATATATTTAAGACAAGCAAATGATGCTAAAATACAACAATACATAATTGGTTAGCATTACTGGCTGCCCGATTGAGCATTCATTGGGGACAAACCTGAAGAGACAATAAAGAAACTGACACCAGAGAGGTCCAAAAATATTCCATAGCAGGGCTGTCGAGCATCTGCCAATTCCTGTGAAATCAGAGTCTCAACAAAGAGCTTGTTTTGGCACTGTTATCCATAGTTGATGCTGAAATGAGGTTGAAAATAGGCAGATTCGGATAAACTCAGCAGAATCATCCTGAATGCCGTCAGATATTTTCTTTCAGTACTGGCTACACTTGACTCTGACCTTCACCTATGATATTGTCCTTGGAGTTCTGGGAGCTCTTTGTTTATTCTGCAAAAGAAAAGAAAGAAACGGATGTTATCGAGGTTGAGTTTAAGAAAGCAAATTTGATGTAAACAAATCTGAAGAGCACAAGAGGGAATGGCTTAAGCTTATCTAGACGTACCTTTTGTGTGTAAAACACTTCTCATGTCTTTGAGTCTGTAGCACTAGAAACCCTTGGCGTTTATCAAGCTCTTCCTATCTGGCATGTGTGTCAACATAGGGGTGTGTGCGTGTGACAGAAAGCTTGCTCAGTGCCCTCCAAAACCAGTTTTAGTTGTCCCTCTCAATATTAATGACTTTATAATTCATTGCTTTAGCTTTAACCCTCCTCCATTGATATTGGAGGACTGTGTGGATGCATAGATGCGCATCGTGCACAGGCAGCGCTCAAAGATTAATGTTTTTTTGGGGAAAATTTATGCTCCATATTAACTATTTTTCTGTTTAAGTATTTCTAAATCATTTGAAATACTTTATCTTGGAGGAATTTCTTGTCAAGTTGAATAAAGTGTAGATATTTATTAGGATATTACATGTAACAGGTAAAAAAGCTGTAACCTCGAAATGGTATGAAGCAGAAGACAAAATGTTTAAATAGTAAGATAAGTTGAGGAAATGGAAGCAATGGCAGATGCTAAAATTACAAAAACAAATCTTCGTAGTATTGCTTCTCTGCAGCCCCACACAAATCAGAGCACTGCTGTATTAGACTGAAGGCTTTATTCTGCAAAAATAACCATCTTGGTTGTATTTTATCCTGCTTATTACACAGCTACTTGCCACAAAAATTAAAATGCATAGTTCTGAGCCATAAAATTTTCTTAATTCTTTAATTAAAAGCAAAGTTGTCGATCAAAAATGGCAAAATGTAGCATACACTAACCTACAAATTATAATACAGTCACAAGATGGCGCTGACAAGTCAACAGTGGCAAGACAGATAAATATATTGATGTGGATATGTTCACTGATGGTCATGATGATTGCCAGTACCCAGATGAGCCTGTGCAACACAGAGGGTCCTACACCACCCAACCCTCTCCGAGCTGGTATCGAACCTGCGACCTTCCGCATTGGAGTTGGTTGCTCTAACAAGGAGGCTAAAAACCCTGCCCTCTAGTGTCTGTCACTGGAGCACATTTAGAGGTCAGAGGAGTGAGGTTTACCTGCACAGCACTTACTAGCTGGCCTCTGTTACACCTGTATTAGGGGCCGTTCACACAATTCGTTTTTTTTTCCAACACACTACTTTTTTATTGTTTTTCAATGTAAACACTTGCTTAATGCATGTGAATGTAGTCAGTGTTGCTTTATATTGTGACTAATTTAGTAAATCTTTCAATATTTAGTTTTAACCTGTAATTTGTTCCTAAAAATCTATAAAAAAATAAGATTCCCTCTATAAAATCTATAAAAAAATTAAGCTGATACCCTCTAGAAAATCTTTAAAAATTTAATTAGGATTCCCTCTATAAAATGTATTAAAATTCAATTAAGCAACCCTCCATAAAATCTATAAAAATTAAGTTGATACCCTCTATAAAATCTATTAAAATTAAATTAAGATACCCTTTCTAAATCTATAAAAATTAAGTTAAGAATCTCTCTATAAAACCTATTAAAATTAAATTAAGATACCCTCTTTAAAATCTACAATAAATAAATGAAGATACCCTCTATAAAATCTATATAAATTAAGTTGATAACCTCTCTAAAATCTATTAAAATTAAATTAAGATACCCTTTCTAAAATCTATAAAAATTAAGTTAAGAATCTCTCTATAAAACCTATTAAAATTAAATTAAGATGCCCTCTTTAAAATCTACAAAAATAAATGAAGATACCCTCTATAAAATCTATATAAATTAAGTTGTTACCCTCTCTAAAATCTATTAAAATTAAGTTAAGATTCCCTCTATAAAAATTAAATTAAGATACCCTCTATAAAATCTAAAAAAAAAAAAATTAAGATTCCTTCTTTAAAATCTATTCAAATTAAATTAAGATTCCCTCTATTAAAATTAAATTAAGATTCCCTCTATTAAAATTAAATTAAGATTCCCTCTATTAAAATTAAATTAAGATTCCCTCTATAAAATAAAAAAAATTAAAAATTGAGATTCCCTCTTTAAAATCTATTAAAATTAAATTAAGATTCCCTCTATTAAAATTAAATAAAGATTGCCTCTATTAAAATTAAATAAAGATTCTCTCTATTAAAATTAAATTAAGATTCCCTCTATTAAAATTAAATAAAGATTCCCTCTATTAAAATTAAATAAAGATTCCCTCTATTAAAATTAAATTAAGATTCCCTCTATTAAAATTAAATTAAGATTCCCTCTATAAAATCTAAAAAAAATGTAATTTACGATTCCTTCTATAAAATTTATAAAAATTAAATTAAGGCTCCCTCTATAAAATCTATAAAAAATTAATTTAAGATTCCCTCTATTAAAAATGAAGAGACCTTTTTATGTATAGCTGTAAGTGTGGGGAACTATTCAAGCATGTCTAAAGTTGAGGATATATGTAATTAGCTCCAACATTTCCTGATTCCCTGCAGACATGACTCACTCCAATCTGACACTGCGAGGCAAACAAGTGATGCAAGTGGATGTTAACATAACAAGAGCACAGCAAACATGCAAATTTCATTTCCCACAACGTAACGTTTCTTTGTTTTTTCCTCATCTCTCTTTCCATGTCTCCAAGCGCAGGTTGTTCGGATTTGAAGCCAGTCTATAAATAGCATGTGTGCGGCGCTAGAGGATGCAGCGAGCCCCCCGCCTCCCAGCCCCAACCTTGATGACTATGATAAGGACTGTCACACACTCACACACACACACACACACACACACACGTCCAACAGTCGAGGATGCAGAGATGCACTGAAATTATGACTTTGACATTGGATGGCAGCCTGTCTCTGAGGGTTCTTCAGCTAGGTCACACAAATGGCAGCAGACAGTCTGAATAAAAGCCAGTGGGTCAGACATAACATCCAAGATGAAGCCAGAAGAGCGAAGGTTAAAAGAACGCTAGAATTTATTTGCTATTAAAATGGCAAAGAGTCAATACATGCTAAGGGCACATCTACATTTAGCTGAGTAATCGATGACTTTGCAGTGGAATATGTTAACTGCGCTATTCTTGCGGCTGCAGATTTCAGTCAGCCCTTTATTCAGATGCTGCTATTTTTAAGTCTATTCGTGTGATGATAAAATTGAGCAGCTGAATCTGAATTTATCATCATGTTGGCTTAAAAGAAAACATTGGCAAGGAAAGCTAGCGTGTGCAGCCCAGAATGGCAAGCATCTGCTTAAATTAGTTAATGCTTCTATTTATGGCACACTTTTATTTACAAAACCTGCTGCAAATATTTCAGAGCGGTATTTCAACATGAACTAAACAGAAACAGGTATAAAAAAATGTATATTACATTTTAGGACTTCAGTGTTCAGATAATAAGACCAATCACTTCCTGACAAAAGTCCCAGTTGTAAGAGCAACACATAATAACTTGACTTCTAGTTGATCACTTGGAAAAGTGGCAGAAGGTCGATTTTTCTGCTGAATCATCTGTTGAACTGCATCCCAATCATCACAAATACTGCAGAAGACCTACTGGAACCCGCATGGACCCAAGATTCCCACAGAAATCAGTCAAGTTTCGTGAAGGAAAAATCATGGTTTGGGGTTGCATTCAGTATAGGGGTGTGTGAGGGATCTGCAGAGTGTATGACAACATCAACAGCCTGAGGTTTCAAGACGTTTGTGCTGCCCATTACACTACAAACCACTGGAGAGGGCAAATTCTTCAGCAGGATAGCGCTCCTGCTCATACTTCAGCCTCCACATCAAAGCTCCTGAAAGCAAAGAAGGTCAAGATGCTCCAGGATTGGCCAGTCCAGTCACCAGAGATGTACATTATTGAGCATGTCTGAGGTAAGATAGAGTAGGCGTTAAAGATGAATCTAAAGAATATTGATGAACTCTGGGAGTCCTGCAAGAACGCTTTCTTTGCCTTTCCAGGTGACTTTATTAATGCGTTTTAGTCATTGCAGAGATGTATGGATGCAGTCCTCCAAGCTCATGATGGAGTCAGACACAATATTCATTCTGTCTCCACTGCAGCATGACTTTATATTCTATACTGGACATTATTTCTGTAAAGGTGACAAGACTTTTTCTCCAAGGCTAAGCAAAATCAGACCTTACTGTCCTAATTAAATCATTAAAAATTAAGGCATGATCATAATTTATTTTGGTCAAATAAGCGTAATCTAGAGGCCTTTGCCTTTCATATAAGACACTTCTGATACCAAATGATCAACTAGAGGTCCAGTTATTATTTGCTGTTTCTAAAACTTGGATAGACAACAAGACTTTTGTCAGGTAGTATATAGTACATTTTCAATACATTTCAGTTTTCAGAATATAAGAACAATCATAAACTCTTGGAGTCTGTAAATACAGTTGAAGTCAGAATTATTAGCCCCCCTGTTGATTTTTTTTCCCCAATTTCTGTTTAACGGAGAGAAGATTTTTTTCAGCACATTTCTAAACATAATAGTTTTAATAACTCATTTCTAATAACTGATTTATTTTATTTTTGCCATGATGACAGTAAATAATATTTTACTCAATATTTTTCAAGACACTTCTATACAGCTTAAAGTGACATTTAAGGCTTAACAAGGTTAATTAGGTTAACTAGGCAGGTTAGGGTAATTAGGCACGATATTGTATAATGATGGTTTGATTTATAGAAAAAAAAAAATTGCATAAAGGGGCTTATAATTTTGTCCTTAAAACTGTGTTTAAAAAATTTGAAAACTGCTTTTAATCTAGCCGAAATAAAACAAATAAGACTTTCTCCAGAAGAAAAAAATATTATCAGACATACTGTAAACATTTCCTTGCTCTCTTAAACATCTTTTTGGAAATATTTAAAAAAGAAAAAAAAATTAGGGGGGGGCCTAATAATTCTGATGTCAACTGT